ATTTCCCGAAGCTCGATCCAAAACCTCTTCATCGTAAAAACGAACGGTTACTGTCGCCAAAGAAAACATCCAATGAGCGAAATGTCTTCATCTCGGAGTTGCCACAGCTAGCAATCCTTTTCTTTCTTCCGCTGGCCGTACTCCGTCCCAATCATTCGATCTCAAATCACAGGCGCTGTCGAGGTCTTAAAGACGGTCGGATCACATAAATCTCTAGCAACTCTCCACGAAAAACACTGCAGGCTTGCTTGCTAGACTGCATCACAAAGCATTCTGTACTGAAGCAAGAACGCAAGTGATGTAATTAATAAGATGATGTGATTTTCATCACCATAGCGCCAACGACCCAAAATGCGAAGTTAAAGGTCGCCCCCATGAGGGAGGTTTACAGCACATCCAATAATTGCGTCTTGCTTACGATCCGCGTGGTCGGTGGGCGCCATGTGCGCGGTGGCGCTGCCATTGACGATGGTGTCAGCGGCCGCGTGGGAGAAGTGAGTCAGCGACTTCAGCAGCGCTCCGGCGTCTGAATGAAAGCAAGAACACAATTTCGCGTCAGCGGCGGTATGATTCCACTTTTCGATGAGACATTTACCTTTCATGTCTTTGACGTAGTCCGCTTGGCCTTTTTTCATTTTATCAATGGAGCTCAGTGCCACCTCTGCTCGACTGATTAGGTAATCTGTGTTTGAAAGACAAGAAGAACATTCGTTTATTCTAAAGTACAGTACGCAGCGGCTGTTTGCGGTGTTGAGGGGCCACTATCTGGCATCAAGGCGACTTTTCTGTTAGAGAGGGTTTGACACCATCTTTTGGCGTTTCAAGAAGAGCACCAGGCGTTGTGAATAGAGAGGGAGGTTGACTGAAGTCGATCACAGGGTAGCGGCGTGACCTGGGGAGCTGGTGCAACGGATATGGAGGGGATCGTCCAGCTTGGCGACTGCATCTTGGATGATGTTCTCAGCTTCTGTGACGGTGCCCTGCAGCAAGGCAAACTGCTCGTCCAGGAGCTTTTGTTTCAGCAGTTCCTCCTGTCTGGCCTGCGTGCAAGCAAAACAAAAGTCCACAAGTATTGGATTATTCATTCAAGAGTCCTGTACATAATATTGAGCCCATACAAAATAATTTTTGTATGGTCTATGTATCCTGACCGCACCTTCTCCTGTAGTCTGGCCTGCAGTTCACTGAGCTCCTTGCTGCTCTTGTCTTTCTCCTGCTGCACCGTGGACTGCTGCAACTGCGCGCTCTGGCGTACGGACGAAAGCTCGGCTTCCTTCTCGCTCACCGAGCGCATCAGACGCTCCTTCTCCGCCTGCAGAGCGACCATGGTGCTGCTGACCTGAGCAGAACTCTGCAAGAGAACGACAAAGCAGACGTCGCAAAGGCAATCAGACTATGCAAGTGGGAGTACATATTCAGTAATGTGTTAAAAAAAA